TGGGGAGAGCGGAGCCGCAGCAGGCTCGCCGCCCTCCCCCGGCACTCCGGCCGGCCGGGGAGAGCTGAGCCACCCTCCCCCGGCGCTCTGGCCGGCCGGGAAGAGCGGGGCCACCCTCCCCCGGTGCTCTGGCCGGCTGGGGAGAGCCGCCCTCCTCCCGGCGCTCCGGCCAGCCGGGGAGAGTGGGGCCCCGGCTGGACTCGCCGCCCTCCCTGCGGCGCTCTGGCTGGCTGGGGAGAGCGGGGCCGCGGCTGAGCTCTGCGCCCTCCCGTGCCGCGCTCCCCGCCGGGGGGGAGGGGTGGGGGGCAGCGGGAGGATTTTTTGCCTGGGGCAGCAAAAAAGCCAGAGCCGGCCCTGCAAGCAGCGGGAAGAGGGGGAAGGTGTAAGGAAGAGACACTGAGTCTGTGAGAGAGTGATCATGGCCAAAAGTAACCCCGCTCCTTACCCCTCCCATCAGGTATGAAAGACGTGGTATTATCACCCCCAGACTCAAGACCCCCCAGAACAGAACATAACCATACATTGGAAGGGGTGAGACCAGGGGAAGGTACAAGTATAATTAAGTTTGCCAAGAAGAGGGGGGAGGAGAGGGAGCTCCATCGGTGTGCGTGGCACTAGGGGTTAGAAGAAGAAGGGGGTCTATCAGTGTATAGAACTGTAGTTGGGGGAGTGGAAGAGGAAAGCCCTATTGGCATATAGAGATAGCCCCACTGGTGTGAAGGGTTTTGGAATATGCTTGCTTGTTTAGCTCCAAGAAACCCATCACATTGCCTGCAGATTGAACTCTGGACTGTTATTTTCCAGCAAACCGTGTCTGGGAACTGAGAGGGAGGAGGGAGCTGGACCCCTGCCAACACATGGATGCAAATTCATCAGATTCCAATGACCCTATTGATTCTAATGTCAACACTGACTTCAGCATTGCCCGTTTGAAAGCACCATATTAACTAGTGAGGACATTCTTTACTACATATTATCCTCTGTCTTTTATGTGTGACAGCAGATTTGCCAAGTTGCAGTGGCTGCATTTAATCAAATACATTTCTTCATAGCCGAACCCTTACTGCAGCTGCTGTGTTCTTCACTATCTTGGCATCACTCTTTGCAAGGCTCTATATTATTTGCTTTTTATTTTGTGTGTCTAGTTCACACCGTTTGTTTTGAAAGTAGGAAAATTCACACAGAAAAACATTGCTTAATGTTACTCTGTTCTGCTTTAATGACATTTTCCTCAAATGTTGAAAAGTTAGAAAATAAATAGGTGAGATCAACAGGCACACTTCTTCTGCCTGCACCTACAGAGAACTTAGCACATCTTACCTATTACCATCTGCCATCCACAACATATTGTTTACACCCAATGCAGCATAAACTACCATACAGTACTGTATTAACTCTCGTATACATTGGAGGACACATTTTAAAAGTATCCCTCTTTGTAAGACTTGCTTCTTGTTCAGGATTTCTTTGAAGAAAAATGAATAACTTTTAACCTATGGCTCTGTCTTGTATAAACTACCATACAGCCTGAACCCTGCCAGATGTTCAAAAAGGAGACATATGTTGAAAGTTTTTCTTTTTTTCTAAGAAATCCAAAAAGAGACCCCACATCTTAAATGACTGAGTTATACTTTTATCATGTGTCTCCATAGGAACTGTAAGTCTCTAAATATTTTATCATGTAGATCTTTGAATATACTCTCACTTCCTCAAATGCCCACAATTGAAGTTGAAATATATGTTGTACACTCACCAGATGTATTACTACACTCAGCAAGTACATCTGTGAGCAATTTCCCAGAAACAAAAGCTTTGTGTAGTGACGGGTAAGACAGCATCCAGACACCCCATCCACCAGCCCAGAATCTAAAAAGCATGGAAATAGCAAGTTACGGGAAACTCTCAGTCATCTCAGCAACATGAAGGCAGGGTAATTTCCCAAATGCATGGACTGTGTCAGTCAAACATGTCAATCTGTTAATACACTAGCATACGAGATCACTGATAAGGTTTTGTGTTAGAGTGTGAGTTTGATGAAGTTGGGGTATGTGTTGCTTTTCTGTATCTGTTGGAGATGGCAGCAAAAGCTTTATGCAGTGTTGAGACAGTTATCCAGGAAACGTGAAAATAGCAAACAATTCATGAGTTCTCCCTTAACTTCTGACTTCCATGCTTTTAAGATTGTGCTTTGGTGGGGTTTACCTCGATGCAACCTTAACTGTCACTAAACAGAGCTTTTGTTTGTGTTAACATGTATGTTGCTCACATATGCTGTTGCTGAGTGTGGTAGTAAAAAGCTTACGTTTGAGGAGTGTACAAAATGTATTTTATAGACCACATTTTATTTTATATTTCAGACCTTACAGGAAGTCAGAGTATATTCAAAGATCTACATGATAAAATATTTCAAGACTTGGGGTGAGATCCTGATCCCAGTGAAGTTGAGGGTAAAACTACAATTCACTTCAATGGGATCAGGATTTTACACTTGGGGTACATCTATGCTGCCCTACAAAGTTAACCTGGACTTTTACCTGGGTTTTAGACCAACCCAGCCCCCCACCCACCACCATCCACACAGAAAAACCTCTGATCTGGGTTTGGCGGAGCTTTAAATCTGGGCAAGTGTATCTGGCTGGGCAGTGGGGTTTAGAATCCAGGTTCCACATTCATTAGGGCTGGAACCTGCCCACTTTTCATTGAGGCAAAATGTGCTGATAGTTCTCCCAATACCTTCCTACAGTTCCCCCAGAAGGAAAACCAAACTCTCCTGAAATTGACCCAGTTGACTGGGGAAGCGTCCTAGAGCATCTCAGCACACAGAACCATGGGATATGGCCCCAGAGAAACATGGATGAGTGCAGACACCATGATGACACAGTAACTCAGGTTTGGTTGTACAGATTCAGACTAGGTTCACCCCCAGGCTAGGTTCACCCCCAGGCTAGCTAAACTAGATGTGCAGATTCAGGTGCTGAGCACCCAGGCTCCCTGTAATGAAGCTCCTTACTGTTTTTATGTACACTCGTGCTAAAAATATATCTCCTTCTTTTAAGATCTGGTTCTCTTTTTGGATTTCTTTGGGGGGAAATAACTTTTTAACATGTCTTCTTCTTGTGTGTCCGAGTTCAACTTATACGGCAGTGTCTACAAGAAAGAGATGTATGTTAAAAGTTATTCTCTCAAAAACAGAGAAATTCCATCCCACAGAAAATGATGATATTTTGACATTTGTTTCCATCCCAAATCAGGATGAAAAATTGACATAACAAAACTTTTTGTGGAATGAAAAGTTTTGAAAAGATGTGATCTGGAAATGTCAAAATGTTGTGTTTCAGCATTTTTGAGTGAAATGAAATGTTTTGACATTCCCAAATCAAAACTTTTCATTTCAATTGTCCTGATGGAAAATTCCACCAAAATCTAGCTTTTCTCATGGAAAATTTTTATTTAGATGAAACTTCATTTTCTGTTCGAAAAATATTTAGTTTGAAATTTTTCAATCAGCCTTATTCTCTTTTCTTCAGAGAAATCCCCAAACAAAAGCATATGTTAAAAGAAGGCTATATACATTTAACATATGTGTCCTTGAATGTATGTCAGAGTTAAGGCTGATGGTAGTATATGAAGCCTTGGGTGGGAATAAAGTGTTGTGAAAGGAGGACAGTAATAGGTAAGAATCGGTAAGTTGTTTTTACCTGTGTGGGTAGAGAAACAGAACGGTGGTTGTTGAGCTGAACTACTTATTTTCTAACTTTTCAGGGTTTGAGGAAAATGTAGAACAGAACAACTTTAACTAACATTACATGAAATTTGTTCAGTGTGAAATTATCTCAAACAATGAAACAAAAAACTAGAACTAATGAGAGAAGCACTTAATATTAAATCCACCTCATGACCTTTCACTGATATAAAGTTCATCTACATCTACTCCCTCCACTGCTCTTTATTTATTGTCTTCCCTCACTGTGTTCAGTCTAATTCAGGGTATGACTTCATTTCAAATTAGAGGTGTAATTTCCAGCTCAAGTAGGCATACTTGCACTAGTTCCGATTGAAGTAGCGTACTAAAAATAGAGTGTAGCCACTGTGATGTAAGGGATGGGAGGGGCTAGCTGCCCTAGTACATACCTACGGTCTTAGACGATATGTACTTACGGTGGCTAGCCCCTTCTACTGCTTTTGCTGCCAAAGCTACACTTCTATTTATAATGCACTAGCTTGGTCAAAACTAGCACGGGTGGTCAAAGCTAGCACGGGTATGTCTCTTCAAGCTGGGAATTACAGCCCTAGCTCCAGTATATACTCTTAGACAGTAAGCTCCTTACAGCAAGGACCTGTCGCTTGATTGGTTTTAAAGCATTGTGTGCACCTAAGGTGTTGTATAAATAAAAGATGCACATCTCTAGGTAGTTATCACTTATCCAGTCAATGGGGATCCTATGCAGTGGGGTAGTGGTAACAAAAGAAGTGGGTAAATTAACTTAACCTAAACCCCATATTCCCCAAATGAGAAGTGGGTAAACTCCATTTACCTGCATTTACCCTTGACTACAATACTGTGCCTATGTGTTTATCTTATTCTTTCCTCAAAAGTCGATTTCTCCATACCCCTTATTTGCTGTTAATTTAGGTCTGAATATGAATCAGGCCCCAAGCCCAGAAAGCTGACTCTGGGGTCTTTTCTTCTCTTTTAGTGTTATTAACCTTTCCCTTCAGGTTCTTCTTCAACACAGTTCCTGTTCCTGAGATATTGCCTCACCATCTCGTACTCTTCACAACTTTGATTTGTCCTGAGGCCAACTTGGGTAACTGTAAAGGAGAAAGAGAGAGAAAGAGAGAGAAAAAGAGTGGGTAAAATATTTCCCTCCTTCTTGCCATCTCTTCCATACATTGTGACTTCTCCTGGTGCTCACCAGGGACTGCTTCACCTTTGTTTTCTTTTCACAAATGCCATCACAAACCTCCCCAGGGAGTAGAATAGGGCAGCTCTCTTGGGTTCCCTCTGTTATCCTGGGGGCCCAAGTGCACTCTGTCATAGGGACAAATTACCCTGGTCTAGTTGAGGAATAGAAATTATTGATGGGGTATGAGGCTGTCTACCAGGGCTGCAGGCTAATTCACTCATATATTAATAGAAATCAAAGAAGTGTTAAAAGATATTGTGGTGTAATCAGGCCCATTCACTTGTGTATTAGTTTAGTTTAAAGGAGATTGTAATGGTATTGTCTTCACTTATCTATAACCTGTTGATATAGGATGACCAGGTGTCCAGTTTTTGACCAGAACACCCAGTCGAAAAGGGATCCTGGTGGCTCCAGTCAGCACGGCTGACCGGGCCGTTGACTGTCCGGTTGGTGGTGCTGTGCAGCGGGGCTGGCAGGCTCCTTGCTAGCTGATGCGTCACAGCTCCCAGGAAGCAGCTGGCATGTCCGGCTCCTAGGCTTAGGGGCGGTTAGGGCGGGTCCGTGTGCTGCCCTGCCCCCTGCCTGCAGGCGCAGCTCCCATTGGCCGGGGCAGGGCAGGGGACAAACTAGCGCATCTAGCAGGCGGCTGTTGAGGGGTCGTGGCACATGTCTCTCCTGCTGCTGCCGGCCCACTTCTCCTCCTTGCCCTCCTCCCGTGGCTGGGCTCAAGCTGCAGCACATGCCCTGTGGCGAACCATGGTCAGTTGCCCCATTGCTGGCACCCAGGGGATTGAGGTATGTATCCCCATCTCCGAGTGCTGGGAATGGGGCTGAACCCCCCCATCCCCCTCACTGCATCCCTCCCTGTCCCAACCCCCTGCACCCCCATCCCTCCATCATTGCATCCCTCCCCATCCCAACCCCCCCATACTCCCATCCCCCTCATTGCATCACTCCCCGCCCCAACCTGCCCTGCCCCCCACCCTTACCCATCCCAGTCCTGTACCCCTTACAGTGCTCTCCCACCCATCTCTCCACCTCCCAGAACCGCCTCCCCATGTCCCTAACCCCCCACAGCCCTGCACTCCATTCACCTCCATACACTGCTCCACTCCCATTATGTCCCTATACACTCCTGTGCCCCCCCACATACTCAAGCACCTGTAGCCTTCTGTCTCCCCCTGCATCCCCATCCACCCCACATACCCTTGCACACCCCCTCCTCTCTTCTTCATTGCCCCCTCCCACCCCCACCTTGCTCTCTTCCTTGATTTCTTTCCCTCCTCACCCTCTCGCCTCCACCCCCACCATCTTTCCCCCTCCAGCCCCCCCACTCCTTTCCCAGCTGGGTGTCTCTGTGTGTGCATGCATGCATTGTATGTGTGTAAGAGACTGTGTGTCTTTGTGTAGGGAGGTGTTTGTATTGCTGCATGTGTGTATATCTGTGTGAATAAAATTTGCAGCCTAACTCTTTGACTTATATTCTTTTTGCTGGCTTGCACACAAAAAAATTGATGATATAAAATATGTGTGTATTAATTTCATAACAAGTTATTAAAAGGGACGGGAACTCTAAAAGAAATATATTATTTCTTAAAAAGTGAATGTTGTTGACTAGTAATTGCAGAAGAGCCAATGTATCATACATTTCTCCCCACCTTTGTCTAGCTACATTATAAACTCTTTGTTGCCGACTCTTTCTTTTTATGTGTATGTCCAGCACCTACCACCCTGGAACCCTGATCTGAATTGGGGTCTTTAGGCACTAAACAACAATTGCAATAATAAGACTCTATGCATCCGAAGAAGTGAGGTTTTTACTCACGAAAGCTTATGCCCAAATAAATCTGTTAGTCTTTAAGGTGCCACCAGACTCCTTGTTGTAATTACAATAATAAATAATGTGGAAGTCTATGTGTTAGTGCATGCTAGCTGTGTACACATGAATACACGTGTGTACGGATGCTCCCTGGGTTATGCAAACCCGACTTACGCAAATCTGCACTTACGGAAAAAGTTCCATGAGCTAGAAAGTTTTTTGTTTGTTTGTTTTTGCGTAATGGTCGGGTACACGTTCCCGACTTACGCAAAATTTGAGTTACGCAAGGCGTTCCGGAACGGAATGCTTGCGTAAGTCGGAAAGCATCTGTATCTACATATAGGTGTGGGAGTCAGTTTCTACAGATTTATTTATATAGGAATATGGACAGGTGTGCATTTCTGTGGTTGTGCTCTATGGATTTGTATTTGGGCTTCAGGAGTGGGCCTTTAATGGACCCATTGCAGCTGTGATAATGTGTGGCCCTAATTCCACACATAAAATTACAATAACTTTAGTGAACAAAACCCATGGAGCTGGTTACGAAAAATGGAAAGAGGGGAGGGAAAGAAAAATGAAAACCTTTGTGAATTTTCATTTTTTTTTAAATTACCCTTTTTGACTATTTTGCTGCCAGCTCTAGTGTACTGTAACAAATAAAACCTGAACTTAGCATAATACATCTGTCAAAACAATAAGTATGCCTGTTTGGGCCTTGCAGTGAAAATGAGCATGTGAGCGAGGGTAGGGGAGAGCAAGCAACGGAGAGAGGGGGGAATGGAGTGAACAGTGGGAGGGGCCTTGGGAAGGGGCGGGGCAGTGGGTGGGGCAAGGGTGTTCAGTTTTCTGGAATTAGGAAGTTGGCAACCCTAATTACATTATGTATAACCCTGTAAATTAGTTAACCTTAGATCAAAAGTGTGTGTTAGTGTTAAGATGAGAATGTACTTCATGAAAACTAATGAAGGCTTGCTATTGACTATTATATTATCTTTTGCATTATGTATATCCCTGTAATTAAATTACCCATCAAACGTGATTGGAGCCTTGGAAATATAAATGAAGAAGGTTGCTAACTTCAAACAAAAGCCATTGTGTTCCACAATGGAAATTCACTGACTCAGTTTGCATGTCTGACTCATTATAACCCACATGGTGAGAAAGACTGTCAGCTTGTCTTCTGTGAGAAGAAGATATAAATATGGATTCAAAGAAAGATCTTGTATCTCTCTGTTTGGGCTCTGGCAGGAAAGTGTACGAAAGCAGAGCTCCCCAGACAAAAGCAGGGTACCCCTGAAAAGACTTTTGGGAAACTGGCAGATTATTACATCACCTGCTATCATTTGGATTTACAAACCTTGACTTGCCTGTTAATGTATTTTACCCATTTTAACCTCTCAGTAACTCTCATTTCTTTTTCTTAGCTGATAAATCTTTAGTTAGTGTACTAGAGAATTGTCTTTGATATAAGATCTGGAATACCAATTGACCTGGGGGTAAGTGGCTGGTCCTTTGGGACTGGGAGCAACCTGATGTGGTGTGATTTTTGGTTTATATGACCATTAGCACTAAGTCCAGTTTGTCAGGGTGGTAAGATTGACTGGAGAGCCTAAGGGGAATGCCTGTGACTCCATGGTAAGACTGGCGTAGTGATCCAGGTGCTCACATTTATTACTGGCTTGGTGAAATTTAATGATAGAATATATCATCAGTTTGGAGTGTCTGCCCTATTTTCTGACAGCCTGACCTGAAATCGGCACTTACAGTTGTGTGCCACTCCAGACAGCGTGACATGGGGAAAAGCTTATGAGGCCACAGCTTGTCCAGCCAAACCCCCATCCTCCCTGGGCAGGACCATGCAGGAGTGTTCCTTACAGTATAATCTCCAGGTTTGTCCAGACCCAGGTGATGGGGTTTCCTTTTCCCTTCTTTTCGGAAGACTCTTCCACAGTCTAACCGGCCTCCTCACTGTTAGGAAATGTTTCCTGATCTCCAGCCCGCATTGACCATCTTTTGTCCCTAGTTGTTCCCCTCCCTCCTTGAATAATCAGCCCATTTATACTCACCAATGAGGGCGATGAGGAGAGAGACAGCCAATAGCAGCAATAGTGTAGCAATCAGCCATGGGAGCCACTGGGTGTGCTTCTGGGGTGCACTCTGGGATATTCTCTTCTCTGGGTGTGCTAAGGGTGAAGAAACTCCCAGCCCCAGGACAGTTAGTTCTTCTCATATCAGCCTCTGTCTGTTAGGGTTCTGCAACCAACTGAAAACTTTCCTGAAAAGCCCATACTCTAGACAAGACTAGACAATCATGAGTAGCTGCTGCTGTTGCAGCCTTCTATTGACCCTTATTCCAGAGTTTTAGGTTATTAGGGATGGAAATAAATTGGAACACTGGGTCTGACTCCTGACCTCTCCCAGCTCCGCCGAAGATCAGATTTAGATCCAAACTCTATGTCTCCAGCCCATCTAATGAGCAAATATTCAGACCCCAAGTATTAGGGAGTGAGGGCCTAGCAGGAGGTTACGGATTCAAGGGAGCTTTTCACATCTCATCAGAGCAAGCCCAGTGCTGCTGAAGTTCATGTTGCTTTTCAAATGTCATTTGTCTCAGATGATCAGAACAAGGGGTCTTTGAGGAGTTCTTAGGCCACCCTGCACTCCCTCATAATGTGTGATTCTAGCTCCTATTCCCCTCTCACCATGATTTTGGATGTGGTGGGTGGTAATGTAACATGTAATGCATCAGCAAGTGGACTGAAGGGAGGGGAGTAGATGGTAGCAGTAAGTGAGAAGGGAGTGGGAAGGAGAAGGCTCTAATTAGTGACCCAGCAGCCCCTTCCATATCTGCTGAATCCAAGCCAGGCATTGAAGAGACTCTGTGTGGTGACATTAGGTATCCCAGCTGTTAGTCTGGGAGCTCAGGGTCTAGCAGTTTCAATAGAAAATCCCCTTTATATTCATCATTCCTGAGTCCCGTCTTCTTCTCTACCATGAGGGACTCCACAGATGCCAGAAGGGTGAGAGAGGTGGGAGGGGTAGATCTCACACTGAAAGGGAAGGAAAGGAGGGCACTCCCTGAGGGACTGGCTGTCCCAAGTGGCAATAAGCAGGAACACTTTAGAAATATGGGAGCGTGGGGAAAAAAAGGAGGACACTTTAGGCAGTTGTGCTATTCACAGTTGCAGGAGAGAGGTAAAGGAAGTTGAGTTCTGCTGCTGAGGGAAGGACCTTTAAGTGGCTATAATTATTATTAGAACCAGAAAGACCCAGTTTCCACCTGAAGGCTGAAAGGCTCCAGAGCACATTCCCTAATCCCACTGAGCTAGTTGGTGCCTCTGAGTTGAGGCTGCATGGGAATCAGTGTCACAAAAATGAACCGCTCCATAGCCCATCCACCAAATGCTTTGAGCCCGTTCCCCTAAATAGCTTGTTATTTACCTTTGGCCTCTGCAGGTGGTGGTGCATTCTTAAACTTCACCTCGGCGTAGGTGATCTCCGACGCCATTCAGAGACTGTGTGGACTGTGTTCTTTATATATTTATAATTCCATCACAATTAAAAATTGATCTTTTAATTCCCTAGAGCCAGAGGGTGACACTTGCCAGTCACGAGTCCTTCCCCTCAAGAAGCTCTGCTACATCCTCTCCAAGCAGTGAGAGAAGGAGAGGCTGAGAGTGGAAAGCCCCTAAGAATTGCTGAAAGACGTTTGGAGACAGAGTTACACCCTGGACAGCTCTTGGGCTTCTTCACCCAGAAACCCAGCCTGAGGTTTCCAGAAACACATTAAAAGAAAAAGGAAAACAGGAAGCTAATGGCTGAAAAGGAAGTTGCATCCTCAAACCTAACAAAAATGCACACTCATCTCCCAGCCAGCACAATTTCTTTTTCTTTCTCCCTCTTTTTTTTTTGGTCCTCTTGCATTTTCCTTTTTTAATTTTTCTGGCTCTCTTTCTCTGAGTCAGTCTTCTTTCATTGTTTTTGCCCGTTGTGACTCCACAGCCTCAGCTACGTTAACAAAATCACCCTTTGCTGATAATGTGTATCATCTGCCATAACCTCAAGTGCAGCCAAGGACAAGCAGTCAGCACTGGTTGAAACACTATGGTTAAGCCCTGCCTCTCAGACAAAGGGCAAGATGTGAACTAGTAGTGTCTCTCCATCCCTAGGAGTTTCAGTCTAGGCTCAGTCTCTCAGGGCTTATCTACATAGGAAAGTTTTACCAGTATAATTATAATTAAACCACTGGTGTTGTCCCAGTACAATTCCCCATGAGTATACCCTTATTCTAGCCTAAGAGTAGCATTTTTGGGGGGTTGCAGGGGTTAAGCTTAAATCCCTTACAAAAAGAGATAAGATAAACTAGAGAAAGATGCTCTTAAACCAGAATAAGAGTGTTCCCACAGTGAATTATACCAATGTAATACAGCACTTTACATTCACATCCCACCTTATTCTGGTATAATTTACCATGGAGACAGGCCCTCCTTTGAAAAACCTGCCCTCTTTCTGTGCCTCTTCACATCAAAGTATTTGAGTCTCTAACACAAGGGGGGTGAGCCTTTTTCCTCTTCTCTTCTGGTAAGTATGCCTTTAAACTAGCATGAGTCAGTGGCCATAACTGTAACAGTTTGTAGTTTTTACAGAGGTTTTACAGTCCCTGCTGCTCACACAGCACTTGTGACTATTTATCCCAGACAATAATTATAAGAAATAATAACTATTCACTGTATTGCTTAGCCCTCATCTACACTGCAAGTACAACCAGGCTAGAAGGCCCAATCATAACAGCAACATCTCCCAACAGAGTTTCAGCAGGGCTCCATCTTATTGAGTTTAATTGCGGGCTTGTCTCCATGAGAAAACTGCACCGATTTAAATAAATGGGGTTTAGATGCCAGTTTAGTTAACTTGGTGCAATCCTCTGGGGGCTGACACTCCTATTTCTATATAAATCAGTGTGACACTTTTAGCTTAGGACAATTCCTTACTGACTTGCATGCCATTGACTGAAGGCCCTTGACATAAACCACAATAAAAGCCTCTACACAAGGGGATTGCATCAATTTAACTGAAACCTGAGTTACTCTAAGACTTCATGTGGGCCTCTCTAAAAAGCAATTGTAAAAATGGCTCCTCCATGCCCTACAGACCCACTCCTTGTGTGAGTTCCCAGTCAACCTACTGACTTTACAAGTTTGCTGCCTTTTACTCCTGTTAGTCCTGCAGAGCCAGTACAACTCAGAGAGAGAAGTAGAGTCTGTTCCTGCCTGTGCATCATCAGCAGAGTTATTTGCTATGCAATTCTGCCCTAAGACACACACTCAGGAGACACAATGAGGGTTGTGCAGGCATCCTTGAGGGCAGAATTTGCCCTGCAGAATCTTAATAGCAGTGATGATGAGTGAAGAAGAAAGAGCCCAGCTTGATTCTCAGAGCCCAGGGGGATTTGCAGGGATGGAAATTAGAAAATATATCTATCTATATCTTTATCTGGACTCATTAAGAGACAATGAAGATCTATGAATCCTTGTGACAGGGTGTGACAAGTCCTTTGATGTCCACTGCTAGAGCCCTTCCTGTCCTGCCACACCCTGCCCCAGAAAAGAAGCAGTGAAGGTGGGTCCTCTAGACCCGTCTAGAAAGGCTGCAGGGAAGCAGCCAATCAGAGCTCTGAAGGCTCAGTTAAAAGGCGCTGCAAGGGCTAAGCAGGTTAGATGCTGGCTGGGAGTGGAAGGATGAGGAAGGTAGTGAGATGCTCCTGGTGAGGAAACCTGTGAGAGACTCTGCTCAGAGAACTTCAGCCCCGAGGTAAGGGTGAAGAGGAAGGGGCTATGTAGGAAGTGGCCCAGGGAATAGCGGCAGCAACTATGAAACAAAGTCACATGTGGCTGCTATTTGTAGGGTCCCTGGGTTGGGACCTGGAGTAGTGGGGGGGGGGCCTGGGTCCCTTCACTGGCAGAGATGCCAAAGGCCTGAGAAGGGGAAAAGTGTAGAAGCAACAGGCTGGAATTTAAAGGGCTTTCGGCTGGAGCTGAAGACCCTGCAGAGGGCCAACCATTTGTTGAATTTTGTTACCCTGGGGATGGAAATGAAGGAGTGGAGAGCTAGGGACATCACAGGACTGCTAAAGGCAAAGAGTCTCCAGAGAGACAGCCCTGGGGGCACTGCTCCATACCAGGGCAGGGATGGACTTAAAGTTAGCCCAGAAGGGGCTGGGAACTGAGCCCAGAGAAAGGGCTGCAGATACCAACCAGGGCACAGTGATAGGCCCTGTTGGACTTTTGTTACCCTGGAAGGGGTTTCTTTATATGGTTTGACTGCATGTGCCTGGACCAGAGGCCCACCTGATGAGGTTAACAGCTGACAGAGTGGGTGTGAACTTGCGCACAATTGACAAGAGGCACTGATAAGGTGAGTGTCCCCTATCACAATGCTAAAGAACATGGGACCCTACAATGCTCTTTTTACAGCACAGTCCCAAGAGAAGGGAGGGAGAAGGAGGCACATTGTTATTAACAGTAGCTTGTTGTTTTGCAATATATAGCCTTTACCTCATACCCTGCAAAGGAAACATCCTGAGACTGTGATCCCATTAGATCTCACTAGCTAGGGGCTAGGCCAGGTTACTAGTAAGATAGGAGACTGCCAAGGAAGAACCAAATTGCTGCAGGGAATGCTGTGAGTGGATCCATAGGGGGTGCTTATCTCCCTGTGTCAGTACTGACAAAAGGTAGATTGTATTGAAGAATGACTAATGAAAACACATTAGTGGGATCTGCTAGGGGGAGCTACCAGCAGTCTCTGGCCTGCTGGCCATAGGGGAGAGCACCATGGATACTTCCCTTTCCTATTTAATCCACTTGCTTCCCTCCTGTACCCTGGGAAACACCAGGAATACAGTTGCATGTGACTAACAGCCAGTCTAGACCCTTAAACTTCAGTCTCATTCCCTTGGCCTCTAGGCATTGGTACCATTTACCCTGGGAGTTCACAACTAAGCCTGGGGTGCAGTTTAAGCTCTTGACAAGCTTTTCCCATTAAAGAGGAGTTGGGCTGGATTTGGTTCAGTCCTTCTGCCTAGATCCCAAACCTAATGACACCTGCTGCTTCTCACTACAGCCTGAACTGATTTCAAACCAGCCACCAACATGGGCGGTAGGGACGCTCCCTTGTAGCCCTGCTAGCTGAGGGAGTCCACCATTTCCCTTACTCTAGGTGTATGTCGTACACAAGGAGTGTTACTTAGCAGGGACTGAGGAAGCACAAGCATTTATGATTTCTTTTCGCTTGGTACGTTGTGTGAGATAGAAATGGGATTTTGATTCCGAAGAGCTTCTATGCTGTCTACCTAATCTCTGATGGGATGCAGTGAAGACTGGAGGGAGGAGCACAATGTGTAGGGATTGGGGAGCACTAGCCAAGCTGTAAGGGAACTCCTTGACTGGACTAGCAGGTTGTGCTGGAGGTCAGGAGTGAGGTGCATCAGCAGACCTGTGAGGGGATCCCAGGGCTGGAATAGCAGGGAGATGACTATTTAAAGAGTGAGATGCAATGGCAGAGCTGGGATCAAGGGCATGGGAGCAGTTAGTGAGAGCAGTGCTTCCCTGTATGAATGAGAAGACCTATTGCATGTAAGATTTCATCACAACATACTGAGGTTCTCTGCATTTGTGAGTTTAGGTCTCGGTTCCTAGGAATTAACTGGATTATATTCAGTATTTTCCGAAAAAAATTACTTTAGTCAGATAAAGACTTCAATAGACACAGCCCTGAAGTGAGCTGAGAGCTATGCTGCCCTTTGTGAATCACAAAGCCTTCGTAAGAGGTCATCCCAGTACTCTGAGGGTCACTTTAGGGCTGGTTGCCCAAGAAATGGGCTTCCTGGAATGATCTGGATCAGAGTCTGTTTACATCTTGACTTTATTAAGATAAACACCATAACTGACACAGCCCTGAAATGAGTAGAGAATTCATGAAGGGGCATTGTACACAGTGAGAGTAAGGAGAGAGAAGAAAGAGGACAGCACTAGAGAGAGAACTTTATATAGAGCATAAGACAGTCTGCCTCAAAACCCAACAACAATGAGATCAAGGCCTGTGGTCTCCTCTGAGGAAGTAGTAGAAGCTCTGTCGTTGCTGCTGCTATTGTCTAATTCTAGTTTTGAAAGTGGAGAATGCACTGCAGGGAACAATCCAGCACTGGCTCCTGGGCAGTGGCAGCAATCCCTAGACTGATTGATTGATTTTTTTTTTTTTTTTGGACTGAAGCTCCTGTAGTTTGAAAAGCCCTCCTTTTTCTACACAGCAGGACATTTGAGTCTCTAACGCCAGACCCAGGTATTCTTTTCCCAGCAAGAATGTAGTTCTAATGTCTAACAAGACTCGGTGATTGCCAGCCTTACAGAGTTTTGGGCTGCTTTTCCATCCATATGTCTGCACCCTTGCCACAAATAATAATTAACAGGGATGACAAACTCTTTGGTTTACAGCTTATACCCCAGCTGGCTTAGAACTACAAGTGTGGTGTGGGAAGCAGTTACAATGTGGTCATCTCAGCACAATTCTATCTACACAAGAGAGAACTTATACTAGGTCCTGAGCCTTAATTGCCTAAGGCTTTGGCTCCATCTACATTACAAAATGGAACTGAGTTCTAAATGGGTTAGAGGATACCTGTTTGGCCCTACCTGTATTTCTAATATATACACTAGTAGACCCAGCCCTGAAATAATCAGAATTCTTGGAGAAGAGTTGTAAGGAGTAAGCAGAAAGCGATGGCACACCAGTAGGTGATACACTTCCCCTGGGTTTAAATTTCTCTGCTTC